CCCCCGGCGGGGCGGGCGGCGGCTCGCTGCTGCTGCGGCGGGGCCGGCTGAAGAGGAACCTCTCTGCGGCCGCCGCGCCGCTTGGCACCCGCAGCCTGGACAGGAAGGCGCTGCTGCCCAAGCCGCCCCGCCAGCTGCAGCCGCTGCAGCCCCCGGAGCGGGACTGGGTGCGGCGGGACCTGCAGCGGGGCTGCGTGCACGTCTACGAGCGCCACGCCAACCGCTACCTGCGCCCGGTGCTCTGCACCCTGGAGACCACGGCGGCCGAGGTGGCCGCCCGCCTGCAACAGCCCGGCCCGCGCGGCGGCGGCAGTGGCGGCGTGGTACGGGTGCCGGGCAAGGCGGGCCCGCAGCCCCCGCCGCCCGAGGAGGGCCTCGCCACCGCGACAGCCGAGCCGACGACCGAAGGGGAGCGGCCCGGGAACCGGCGGGGGAAGCGAGGCGCGCCGCCCGCGGAAGGCACGGAGGAGGGCGGCTCGCCGAACCCCGCGGCGCCGCCGACCGAGCTGTACCTGGCGGGACCGCCGCTGTCGTGCCCCTCCCTGCTGGGTGAGCTGGGGCCGGCGGGCTCCGACTGCGAGAGCTTCAGCCCCGGCGCCGAGAGCGTCTCCGAACGCCTGGACCCCTACAGCAGCGGCGGCGGCGGTTCGTCGTCCTCGGACGAGCTGGAGGCGGAGCCGGCGCCCTCCGACGGCGCGGAGGCAGGTGCGGGGCCGGGCCGGGGCCGCCCGCCGCCCGGAGAGCCGTGCCCGGGGGCGGGGGGCGGCCGGGAGGCACCCGCGGGGCCGCCCGCGTTGTTCGTGCAACTGCACGGGGAGACCAGCCGGCGGCTGGAGGGTCACGAGAAGCCGCTGCGGATCCAGAACGACTACCTCTCGCAGCTGGGCTTCAGGGACCTGTGGCGGGTGCAGGAGGAGGGCATGGACGCCGAGACCGGCTGCCTCATCCGCTTCTATGCTGGTGAGTCGGGACGCGCGGGTCCTCGCGGTTCGGCGCTTTGCTCTGACGTCGTCTCGTAGCGGAGCCGGGGGCGAGGAGGACCGCGGGCGAGGAGAGGGGAGCTGCCATCCCCGCGGCTCGGCCCCGGGCTTAAGGAGCGGCTGCGCTACGGCCGCCGTGAGGGCGAGATGCGTTCCTGCGGGCTCGGCCCGCTGCTCGCCTCGTGCCGCGGGAGCGGTGGTGGGTTCGGCGAGGTTGCCGTCACGGGCTGTGGGAACAGGCTGTCGCAGGCTTCGTCCCGGGGGGAGAGAGCTTCCCGAGGCAGCCTCGCCGTACGGCCTTGGGCGCGGGGTTTGGAGGGTGTCGGTGGAAAAGTTAGCTCTCGCGTCGAGGTTATGCAACGGTGCTCTTTTACGGGGGCTTAAAAATATCTCCCGTGCACGGATACCGAGTGGCGTTCAGTCGAGGAGCTGGCTGGACGGGGTTAGATAGGGAAAGAGCAGAAATAACTGCTGTGTCCGGGTGATGAGGGTGGGGTTCAGCAGGTGGTGCTGGAGGGAGCGCTGCTCCCTTGCTCCCGGCGGCCGGGAACGCGCGGGCACGTTTTAGGTTGGCCCGTTCTAACAGGATGCATTCTATAGGAAGCAGAATCAGCAGACGTCGGTCAGCCTTAGGCACGCAGCGACGCCTGTTTGCATGTAGCTTTTGTGCGTTAAGTGATGAATTCTACCTGCTCAATGCAGCTGCTTTATTTCGGTGTCACAGCCTATTGGTGAACGTAGCTTGTGTGCTCTGGACTTCCTTGTACGAGGCTCTGAAATAGGAATGTAAATCTGTAAGCATACGTGGGATTAAATGAATGCAAATGTGTTATGTAATTCCGTATCCCGGGCAGCGTGCCTCTGTGCTTCAAAAGTGCAGTGTTTCTTTGAAAACTTTATCTCTTTGGGGGGATCTGTGATCAACACCTGAAACACCTGTAATCCGGTGCTTGTAGCAGAGTGTTTCCAGCCAAAAGAGTGAAGGAAGCTTTGCTGCTATGTCGTCTGCTGACTTGGTGTAACTATCCTGGCAGCTCCTCCTGACATCCTTATGGCCTTTCATTTTTGTGCTGGGTGATGAAAGGGAGGAAAGGAAGGAGACTTAAAAAGGAATACGCATCACATTAGAGAGTCAATTTTGGCTATGGAGTTACAGTGTTGGAAGCACCTTTTTGATCAAATGATCCTCCAGGAGTACCAGAAGGAATATTTTAGCAGTGGTTTCCTGCTTGCCCTGGAGTCATTGGCTTAGGCAGGCTGCCTTGTCCCAGTCGATAGAGAGCAACCAGCAGCTCTATCCCCCTGCAATTGTAATTTCCTGCAAGTGGTCTCTGTAGGATTTGATGATCCTGGTCTTGTACTGATGTGAAATGGCGTAAACTGAGGCTGGATTCATTGCGCCGCTTCTATAAAGAATTCTTTTCCCTAATCCCCTCGGGGTGTGGAGAGAGGAGAATGCAGCGATAACTTCTGGGCTTCTCTGTTTCTGGGGAGAGACGATTCTAAGGCTGGAAGATCTCAGTGCTGAAACAATGCTAAAAATTCCAAACAAAGTAAGGTGATACAGCCAGTGATTTCAGCAGTTACCGTGTGGTGGTGATTTCTCTAGCTGTGGAAGCCATGAAAATATGCTTTTTGGAAAAAACTAACTAGGAGAGCTGCAGAGGATCAGGGGTTTTACAGCGATGACACAGCTGATGATGTAGCTGTTCATAGACATTCTGCAGTGAAATGTCTGTTCTTTAGACACAGTATTCTGAATTAAAGAGGCTCAGAAAACAAAATGTGACACAGAATGTAAAACTGCCTCCTGCGTGCTGTCTTGACTCACTTCAAAATGTGGTTACCACATATTTTTGTCTCCTCTACTTGTACTCTGAGTGTGCACAATTTCTTCAGTCTCTTGACTGAGCATTGCTGTGCAATAATGCTGTTGCTAAAACAAAGCCCATTACAGATGTAAGCATCCAACTCTGCCCCCTGTAACATTGATTTGAGCAGAACTGGGCATTAGCAGCTAGCCATGCATGTCAGCTTCTCCCTGTGTTGAAATCCATCTCAACAAAAGATACTGTCCTCAAAGTTTGGAGTACTTAATCTCTCTTTAAAAGGATATGGTTAAATAGCTTTCTGCTGAGATACTCCTTTACTGCTTATGGAACTCTGTAAGAATCCATAGTGCAATTACAGCCCTGATATTGTAGCTGAGAGACCGATTAGGTCAGACTTACTAAACTATTCCTAAAACCGTAACAGTGGCTGTGATCCAGAAGGCTTCTCAAAAACAAGTTATAGTATTCCTTATTGCTCTGTAAAAATAATTCTTGTAAAATGAGGTTTTTCCCAGTGGCCTTGCCTTCTCTGCAATTTGTGTGCTGAAGGAAAATGGGCTAATACACCAACGTAGCCATCTGAAAAACTGCAGAAGCCTTTACTTGTTATGAGCCCTTGGTCAGAAGTAAGCGTGGAGTCTTGCTCAGCCCTGTGCTGTGGAGCATCTACATGGCAAGGGACTTGGACTATAAGACTGGCTCAGGATAGTGGATGTTGGAGGCTTTTTTGCTTTCCTACTGAAAGGTGATGGTGTTTGATTCTCGCGCTTGGCTGTCATTAAATTGTCTGCTCTCTGATGTGACACAGGGCTTCTGCACCTGATGGTGTCATCAGATGTATCGCTTTCCAGTAGGTGACTGCCTGTGGGCAGAAAACGAAGAAATGCCGGATGTAATTAAGGGTGTTAATTTGGCAACTGGCTGTCAGGTTTTGTTTATGAAGAGAGGTTTGTTGCTCATGTGACCTTTTAAAAAGCTGAGAGCAGAAACCAATCCAGCTTTGTCAGAAATTTCGTTGCAGAAAATGTTGCTCTGTCCATTGTGAAGGTAAGAGTGGGAGCATGTAGCATGGGTCACCCCGTGTGGCCACTGAGGTCCCATGAAGACTTCCAGGTGTTGGATGCTTGGTGATAGATGAAAACCACAGGCATGGCAGCTTTTTGTGAGACATGTATTGAGTTGCTGGCTATTTGCTGTGTGCATGTCTTACTGAATAAATCAGCCCAGCTATTAAATGCATCGATAGACTCAATTTAAGATAACTGCATGATGTTTAAGGGGAAAACGTGCCATAGACATACCTGCTCCTTAGAGCAGGACAGCAACTGTGCTGTAAGGAAGAGCTTCTGACTCTGGGGCACTGGCTTTTTTTTCCTGAAACCCAACACCTTATTTAACATGAAATCAGTTAGTTCACATTTGGATGGCTTTTCCTATGGTAGTGGTTGTAAAGGTGAGGTCCCAGTGAGTGAACTCTTCTTCAGCTGAAAGAAAAGCATCCTCTATGCTGGGCTGCTGTGCCCTTCCATTTTTTTTTTTTTTCCTTCCCAGTGTAGTTTGGATGTATATATCTTGTTTACTTTGTAATCATTGTAACCATAATCAATCTACTGCAAGGGAAGTAATATGGAAAACTTCCCACTTAAGAGAACTACTTTGT